GGCCAGGCGGGGCTGCGAATGCTGTCAGATTTTGTTGCCCTCTGCATTTTCCAGAACAACCCAGCATAAGCATGATTTCCTCCTTCTTGGGGTGGTTAAAAAAAAGCTCAGTCTAGGGGCATTTGGTAGACACTTCTGGGGCTTGGGAGGGCCCGTCTGAGCATAGGAAACGAAGAAGGAGCTCCCTAAACTTGAAATGCAGGTTTTGATGGTTCTGGGAGGGGAGGAGAGATGTGGACATAAAATGGCACGGAGGGAAGGTCCCCCAGAGAGGGTCATGCCCACCCTCCAGTCCCCTCAGGGCACGCTCAGAGTGGGCCTTGCCCTGCCCGGCAGGCCAGGATCCAAACCTTCTTTTTGTGTTTCTCTGTTGTGGTTTCTGCTCTTCTTCTGATAAGGCAGAACAGCTTCCCTCAGTTTTCCACCACTCCCAACTGCTTGTTAAACAATGCCTTCAGAGTAGACGCCACAGCCCACTGGATGAATGAAGCACTTTGAAAGGAGGGAGGGAGGGGCTGTCACACCCTGACAGGGAAAGGGAAAGCAGAAGGCCGACACAGCTGACCTCAGGGGCCTGCTGAGACTGGCCAGGGTGGCCGGCTTCTCCTCTGGCTCCTACAGCGGGGAGCTGCTCAGTGCCAAGTGTGGTGTGGACACTGGTCTGCTGACAGAGACAGAAATTCATTTTCCATCTGTCAAGTCGCCTGACCCAGAGTCCGTAATGATTTTCTGTCAGGTGGGGGCCCGGCTGGATTTGAACCAGTGACCCAGAGGTAAAAGGCCTTTACATCAAGGCTTCCCCTGTGCTAAGGGCCTGCCTGCACTGTGACACCTGACCCGCGCTCTCTCCTGCATCTGCCCTTGCATTCTCCACGGCTAGTTGACTTTTGATTGCAGCCTAACTTAGCATGTGGGCTTGACTGGTCAATACCCCAGAGGGAGGTGGGGAGGGAGTCAGGGCCTTCTGGAGTGTAGGAGGTAGAGCACTGAAGGGCACAGTGGTGGAGCCTGCTTGATTCGCCTGGGGCCCAAAGCCAAGGTCCTCCCAAATTGGGTGCCTCAGGACCTTTGCACAGGTCACAGAGCTGGCTCTACAGGAAAGCCTGCAGCTAGGGTTAACTGTCTGCAGCGGTATGCAGTCTAGAAGCTCGGAGTCTCACCCATTTTGGGGTCGAAATTGTCATCACTGTTTTTACTGACTGTCTTCATGAAAAACAATTATTAGTTTGATGAAGATGATGATTCCCAATGAAAATTAAGTGTCACTGGCCTGTCTCCAAAAACATTATTGGAAGATGTCTGTCCCTCAGGGTTAGAAAAGCAACCCAAAGAGCCTGAAGCGTGAGCCTATCATTCAATAAACATCTACTGAGGTTGCTGTTGTCTGACAAGTATTCTGCTAGTTACCAGGGCTACATAGATAAGACAGGAAAGAAGGAATCATTTGGAGAGGGAGTGACATGTGGACAAGACCATTTGGCAAAGTCTGGACCTTGAGTGAATGATTAAAAACAAAGATGGGGCCCTCCCTGGTGCCGCAACAGGTTAAAACACAGCACTGCAAGCCAGCCACAGTCGCTTCAGTGAGAGTTCGATTCCCAGCTCCGAGAGTGACCCACACAGCACAGCAGAACCTCTCCTGACCCACCCGCTGCTTCCCTCAGCAGTGTACTTCATCAGTCTGCCTGTTCTGCTCCCCACTGTGTCTGGTAGATCCTCTCACTGTCCCTGAACCTCTGGCTTGTACCCCAGTTCTGTGTGCATAAATACAAACATTTTTTAAAAAAAGAAAACAAGGACCGCGTGTGTGAGGAACAACGAATCACTTGGGAGCAAGGGCTGCAGCTGTGGTGGGAGCTGGGGTCAGGCCTGGGCGAGGACGCAGACTTCGCTGCATATAAGCTCTGACTACTGGCACTGAGTGTCCGGGAGCCCCACTTCCCACTCTGACCACACCATGCCAAAAATCCTCACAGGGGCTAGATGGGGCTCTCCTTGTGTAGTGTTCATGGAGCAGAGCCTGGCACGTGGACCAGCGAGACAGCCCAGGTGAAGGAGATTGCCAGCAGGCAGGGTGAGCTGTCCGAACCACCTCCTGGCCTGTCGAACCCGTCCAAGCCCTTGGGCCGCCACACTGACCAGGAGGCCCCTTGGTGAGATGAAGCGCCCGATCTTGACTGCTGATTAGCTCATGTCCTCTGGAGGGAAAAGGCGGAGAGCTCACCTGGATGCCCCATGCTCTGCTGCTCCCCCCGGCCTCCTGGGGTCGCCCTTTATCTCCTCCTGACTTCTTTTGGAGAGCCCAGTTAGTATCCTTTCCCAAACTGGCTCCCTCGTGGTGAGCATCTCGATTAAAGCTTTGCCTGGCAAAGCCAACTAGTGTTCTCTTTTGAATTCTTTCCCTAGAGGGCAAAGGACCCACTCTGGGCTGGAGTCTTTTCACATCAGCTAAGACGACATCCTGGATCAGAGAGAGGTATTCCTGGAACAGAAGACTCTAGAACTAAAGTAATCTTAAGATTACTTTTTTTTATAACTTTTTATTTATTATATTAATTTATTTTTACATATTTTTGTGCATTTTTCCATCTCAGTGGCAATCTCCGTGGGTTTTCCATCACCAAATCTTAAGATTACTTTTAATCTTTAATTTAAGCAGTGGGATGAAGAAGGTAGCGATTACAGAGAGGTTTCATAGTTGGAATCAAGAGAATTTGGTGGCTATGAATGTGCAGGTGAGGCGCAGGGGAGGACGCCTTCTGGTTGCTATGGCAACACAGGCAGCTGGTTTGGGAAGTGCCACTGTGGGCAACAGGGATTAACTGCCTTTGCCTTCTTGCAGTGGCTTAGAGACACTTTGAGGACCCCAGGTGGGGGCTCCTAGTGATTGTAAACAAGAGCTCAGGTCTACCATGGTTTTCTGATTTATAGGTGGTGGTGGAAGCTGAGTGCCCAAAGGGGACTCCAGGAGGGGAGCAGATGGGTGGGATGAAAGAAGAGGGGCAGGAATCCTGGAAAGGTCAACATTAAAGGGGTGAGTGGGAACGGGAGCAGTGAAGGAGACAAGCTGTCCATGTAGGGGTGTCAGGGAAGGGGGCATTTGTACCTGGGCACAGTTAGGTCTCCAAGGTCAATGAGACACATTCCCCCTTAACCTCAATAAGGTTAGCATTTTGTCACATTTGAGAAACTATCCTATAATGCAGTGTGATTAGTGGGTTGTTAAAGAGAATAAACTCTCAGAAGGTTGTGTATGGTCTAGATGCAAACCAATGATGGCGACCATGATGATAGATTTTATCTAGTTTTTACATTGTCAGAACTCCTGTCAGGGAAATCCTGTATTTTTGTGTATATAAAATTTTCTTTCATTCAGATCAACCCAATATATTTTAGCTCGACTTCTTGAGTGTTGGTGGAAGGCTGAAAACGTGGAGGAGCAAGTTGTTGGCCTCCCTTGTACAGCCTTGCTGTGGAGAGGTGTGGTTTCCGCAACCAAGAAGCAACGCATTTCCTCAGGACCACAATGCAGCTTCATGGTTTTACTCAGAATGGGAACTGTCATCAAAAAAATAGTCTTCCTGGGAAATAAGGGATAACATACACGTAGGAGAAGAGTTCTTTCAAAATTTGGATACTCCGGCCCTCCCTGGTGGCGCAGCGGGTTAAAGCACAGCACTGAGAATCTAAAGCCGCTTCCGCATGAGTTCAATTCCCACCTGCCCCGGAGGTGATCACATGGTGTGGCAGACCTCTCCTGACCCACCCGCTGCTCCCCTCAGCAGTGTACTTCGTCGATCTGCCTGTTCTGTTCCCCACTCTGTCTCTGGTGAAACCTCTCACTGCCCCTAAGCCTCTGGCCTGTACCCCAGTTCTGTATGCACAAATAAATCTTTAAAAAAAATTTTTTTTGGAAAAAAAAAAAAATTTGCATACTCCATGTCCTACTTAACAAGACCACGATTGGGCAAGTCCGTACAGATTCTTCTGGCCACTAACCTGTGTTGGCAAAAGAGAAAAACAGGAACGTGGCCCACATCAGAGGAGAAAGAAGGAAACAGAAAGGTTTCAGAGGATGGGCTGGAGGTGAGTTGGGTGGAGGAGGTGTTTGGGAAGGGTGTTGGAAGCAGGTGCCTTGAGGAGGCTGATTTCAGTCAGCCCTTCAGGGCGAAAGGATTTCTAAGGCAGGACAAGAAAACACCAGGGTGGGGATCACAACACGAGGTGATGTGCTCTTAGGGAAACACTGGGTTTGGAAAAGGCACGCTGGGCTTCCTTTCCTACTCCTCCATGGAAGAGCAGGGGCAGCTGAAATCCAGATATTTAAGTCTTCCGCTTCTGTCCGGTCTCTGGTCCTCAGCCCTGACACTGGGGCAAAGAGCCAGGGCTGCTCTGGACTTTAATGTGATGCGTGGGGGGTTTGGGGATGGCTAGCTGGGCGACTCTGGAACTCACCTGTTACCTCACAGATGGTGCAGGGTACCGGGGTGAGCTGAGACACCCCTGGGGAGGTATTATGAAATCAGCTGAAATCAGGTTACATATCAGCCACAGGGGCACTGGTGGTTTCTGAGACACATCTTTGTTTAATCATAGAATTATTTTCATCTTCCATTCATCATAAATAATTCATTTCATTACTTCATCCATCCTTTTGAAAAAATTTGGTATTTAGCAAAAACAAACATTGAACATTAGCCAGAGTATATTTGTTTTAAACATAAGAGGGAAGAATTAAAAAATATCTCAAAATAAAAAACTTACAACTTAGAAAAGAACAGATGAGAAGATCAACAATGTCACCTATTTTAAAAAATCAAATTTCATGACAAGTGTTTTTTAAAAAATCCAGATGGAAAAACTAGTAAACATAATCGAACATATTTCTTTCATAAATACATTTGGACCAAACAGATGCATAAAACAAATAGCTTGATGCTGTAAAAAATAAAATATTTTAAGATATGAATAAATCCCAATAAACATGAATTAAAAATAAATTTTATTTTTTTCTTCTTTATGGAAAAATATGCCACAGCATTTGTGTAAAAAAGAAAAAGGCACAAACATATCACTAAAGCCACCAAAATTCACTATGCAAAGACTGTTTGAAAACAAAACACTTTTTTTAAGCAAAAGATAAAACGTTATAGCATTTTCTGTTGAATTTTATCCCATAATCACACCTACTATAGGTGTCCGACAATAGAGGTAGATAAGTTGGGAAGCAAGAATCAGTTGCTAGGCTAGGGAGAAAGGTTTTTGGGCAGCTCAGACAGGCAATTCCATTTACTAAGAAGTTCCAAGAAGGCTGCAGGGCAAGACATGGACGCTTTTGGGCTCCATCTGAGAGTTTCAAAAGTACCAAGCAGAAATGCTGTCGCTTTCGACACAAGTGATGTCTTCACAACAGCAGTTTTCGGCAAACAATTTGCAGGGTTTGGCACACGCTGTACCTCCACACTGAGGATAACTTCCGGAACGTGGGAATGTCAGTCACGTGGAAATGAATCAGAAATGATGCGGCTGAGAGCAGAAACAGGACAATCCATCTGCTGAGCAACTTGGGCCGTTCTAAGGAATGACTTTTGTTGTGGGGGGAGAAAACCACATCAAAACAGCTGCTGAGAATTGAGCGTGACTCAGCGTGACCCCAGGGTGCCAAAACCCCCACTCATTAAGACCTGGAAAGAGAGGGTGCGCTGCAGAGTGTGTAGGAAACACAACAGGGTTCCCCTAAGTCTAGATACCGCTTTATCTCTACTGGGTCCAGTGAATTCCGGTCCAGGCACAGTAGAAGCAAACTTTGTATACTCTTTGAAAGCTGATGCCAAATGGGGAAATAATTTTACTTGATGTTTGGTTAATGAACAGTTTCATATTTTCTGTGTCCACTTCTGTCCTCCCAGGTGTCCGGGTAACATTGCTTATGTTCATGACCTTTCTGTTCTCACTTATTCATAAGAACAAACATTGGTCAAGTCTGCCTATTTCTGGGATGGAATGGGCTGCTTCCGGCCAGCGGGAACAGCCTGTGCCCAGCACACCTGTGTCACAGGAAACCAACTGGGCCGCAGTCCTGGAATGTGAATATAATCCGTGTGGAGCTGCTGTTGCTATTCAGCTGACTGTAACGTTTTTGCAGCAGGTGTTTGGCTATAAGGGGTCAAACTGGTAAGAAGGGAATTAAGACAGCAAAAAGGAAAAACCCGTCACTTAATTTTAAAAATCCTAGAAATCCAACCCTATGGTTTCTATCTCCAAACTTCACGTACTTTATTCCAAACTCAAGTATCAGGCCCTTCCTTGAAGCAGCTTATAATAAAGTTCAGGCCGTCATCTTTTAGAATGGGATTGTGGCGTTTCTGTGTGGAATTAGTGAAAGAAATGTCTAAAAAATATGTCAAGAAAGCAGACCACTTATGCTTTTCAACATCTCTGACTGTGACTCCTGCCGCGCTGATGGAGAAGAGGTGTGTCACAGTCATAGATAAAAAGAATCACCCAGTAAATGGAGCAAGTGGGAGCGAGACTGGGAATTTTCACTGTCTCTGGGAGGGCGTTTTCCTGGCGCTGTGACTGCCTTTCCAGGTACAGTAACTACTGTCGAGTTGCTTAGAAGAGGGGAGGGAAAGCGTGCCTGCTTTTTGTTGCTTGGGATGACTGTTTTAGAGAAAAAAAAAAAGAAGAGGAGGAGGAGGAGGACAAAGAAAATGACACAGCTCCTTGTACCACCCCTGGCAGTACAGTAAGCAACAAAGTAGGTTCTGGAAATAATGCTCTTGTCAAATACATTTTAAGGCACTTAAACAGTTATATCTTATTTTCGTGTAAAAAAATAAAATATGCACCGAAGCGACATTCACAAGCACGAGTCTTCAGAGTGTGTGTCTGTACAGCCCTGTACGTATGTACATCTGGCGTGAGGCCGCCTCCTTCCTCACACCGTCGGCCGCGTCATCTTAACTCCCTGTGAGAAAGGAAAAGATGCTTTTCAGAGCTGGGAAATATCCAGGAGCAAGTGACCGCTCCATGAAACTAGATCATGGGCGCAGCCAGGAGGAGGGAGTCCCCCAGGCTGTGGCCAAATGGCCAGGGGGTCTAGAGACGGAGCCAGTCCCCCTTATGAGGCAGGGGATGTCTGCAGAGCAGAGGAGTCATGGGTATACTTGGCACTGGGGCTCGGTATTTATTTTGGGGGTCAAACAAGATGGATAAATACCTCAAAGCCTTCTGAGTTGTTCTCAATTAGCCAGTGCCCCCCCTGGTTTCTGTATAAAGGGGAGATGAACAGCGTTGTGGAGTTTCCCTTTTGGAAATGCTTCTGCTAGTGTGTAGAATAAATCTTAGCATGTCTAAACATTTACAGGAAAATTTACTCTGATGCTGGTTCATGACTGTATATACTATTGACAGAGAAGTAGGATTTTCAAATCCTTGTCTTCCTTCTTGGTCATAACTTAGATGTGTAAATTCTAGTCTACAATGCACGACCATGTAAGGTGGACAGTGGGGGTAAGAGAAAGGAAGTGAAACGCTCCTCTGCTGACTCTCCATGGGGGAGCTGAGCCAAGCGACTCTCACCTTCTGCCTTGAAACCATCCAGGACTTGATGGTGGGCACCAGCACGCTGCCCAGCAGGATCTGGACCGGGTGGTAGATGAGCAGGGGCACAGAGATCAGCGAGAGGTGCTCGTGGCCTGCAAACACGATCTTCAGCATTGGGATTCCTGAGGAACAAGAAGACAGAGCGCTCACAGGTGCTCCCAGCCTGCTATCAAATTAGAGGCCTACCCGTGGGCACTGTGTGTGTTCACAGCGAAAGGGGAGGACCTCGCAGGAGTCACCAAATCTTCCCTCTGTCCTTCATTGCCCGAAGCTCTAAATGCTGTGGAGGACAGGTCAACGCTGAAAAGGAGGTGGGTGAAGTGCAGAAACTGCTACCCCCTGCATAGCACCAGTCCCTCTAACAGGGAGAGGAGAGAAGATTGTGTGGACGCAGCTGCTTGAAGAATGAGGAAAAGACAAGCCAGGCAGAGATTAGACAGGGATCCTTTCTTGCTCAGTGGTAAAGCCGTCTGTTGGTCGAAGGGAGGCCTACTTCAAAGTCCCAAAGTTCACTTTTGAGAGTTGAAAAGATCTGGTGAGATGATGAGGAGCATATCCTGTTCTACGTACTTTAGCTACAGGAGCTCTGGTGAAGGCTTTGCATGTTCTCTTTTGGCTCAGAGTCTCATACCAGTATTGGGTATGACAGGTATATTCTACGATCAGCGCTGAATATTTGAACCCGAGAGTGAAAGTCTTAAAGGAACTCAGGTAAATGAACACTGAATAATACCCACTATTGTGTTACCGGAAGTGCAAAATACACACGCTGCATGGTGGCTGTCTACAGCAGGTATCTGTTAGCCTCGGTAACAGAAGACACACAGGACGTTGGATGAGTATGACCAGTTGTGTTAATACGGCCCAGTTATCAGCTTTTTCAGCAGAATCTCTTGGATAGCTTTGCTTTCTTGTTTCTTTGAGAACAGCCTCTGACCCAGAACGGTCTCCTAAACATGCATAATGATGTGCGTAATAACTTGCGATGATAATCCAGTACGGAAAGCTAGGCTTCGTGGTTTTTCCCCCAAACCTTGATGTGAAAATGTATTTCCTGCCTGCATTCTTCATTGCAGTCTCACAGAGTATGGCCGCGACCTGAAAACATTTGACTCCTCCCATCCGATGCTTCCCTGAGCACTTCAACACTACACTCATAGACCCTGGCCATTGCCACCTTCTCACTAATACAAGAAACAAAAGTGCTTGCTTTAAAAAAAAAAAAAAAAATACTACGCTTAATCCATTTAGCACTGAGAAGCGACATCTGGTATTTAGTCCTGGGAATCTGTGACCGTGAGAGAATAAGAAGGCCCAGACTGGCCCTCCTGTGTCTAGGAGACCGCTTGGCCCACAGAAGCTTGAAGCGATAGGGGTGAGAGGAATGGGAGCAGAGGCTGAAGGGAGCAAGCACAAAGTATGCAGATGTTCAGCCCTCAGTAATGAGCAGGGAGAGGGTTTCAGACCACAAATCAAGGCCCGTGGTGCTGGGCTGAAGCCCTGGGCTTCTCCAGTCCAGGCCATGGTGCTGCGGGTCTTCACAAACTGGCGGTTCTCTGCGGGGAGCCACAGAGCGCCAAGGGGCTGTTTCTACTCACAGTAGAAATATTCCATGGCAATATATGTAAGGCGGCTTCATGCAAACAGCAGAAAGTCAGTGGAAGCTGAGGAGCTCGGCAAGCCGGAGAGCAATGGCGACGCGGCTGCAGGTGATTCCCGGGGCTGCGGTGTCTAGGGGGACCCGCAGGAGTGCGACTGCACCTCACAGTAACCTGGGGTGGCTGGTCACCCCATCCACACTGCACTGATGAGGAGATGAAAACTGCTCGACATAAGGAAACTTGTCCCGGTGGCGGAGTCTGACGGAGACCGGTAACTTGGTTTCCGGGCCTGTGTCAGGGGGCCGGACACAGAGCCTTTGGCTCCGGGAACCACGGGACAGCGTGAAGTAGAAGGGGCTCTGGTCAGCAGACGCGGACCTCTCCCAGAAGCACCTCCAGGGGCAGCAGATTTCTCAACCCCGTTGTCCACATCAGGACGCCCCTGTGAGGGGCTAAGCAGCTACCAGGAGCACCCCAGACGGAGAGCCAGCGTGTCTTCACCCCCAGGGAGCGACCTTCTTTGCGCCCTGCTAGCAGCACGCTGGAAGGCCTCTTCCGGCCCCAGGCTGGCGCTTGGCACTGACACCACATCCTGTTCATTTGTCTTGTTTTCCTACTCTTTCATTATCACTGCTCCACACGGCGCTTCCTGCGTCATTCTGGGCTGGAGACTGAAAGACTAACTTTCCAGATGAACCGTGTGTGCGTGTTCTATTGCATCAGAGGATAAAGAAACACAGTGCCAGCACTGCCCGATTTACAAACACGGCTTGGCCAAGGACCTGTCCGTGTGAATGGCCACAGCTGCCCACCTGCTACCCCCACAGTGGAAGCCACGGAGGAAGAGCCCAGATCTTTTAACATGGATTCTGGAAAAACAGGCCTCACGGTACACGTCTTCACACACAGCCTCTGTATTCTGTTTCAAGATGGGGTTGGGGCCTTGCAAACATCACCTGTCCTTGCCGCAGGCTCCCGGGCAGCTGGGCTGATGTGGGGTCGGGGGTCACTAAAGGAAGGCTGGACAGGGAGAGGAGCCTGGGGTTCACGCAGGGGTGCAGACGTGGCTCCAGCCTGTTGTTAATGGGCTGAGGCCCCACGACCAACTTCCTCTCTTTGTTCTCCCAACTGTGGCTACTTCTGCCTACTTCCTGTGGTGCGCACTCTCGTTGGCCTCCACCTTCCCCGCTTCAGTTCCCTAACACGCTTTAGTCTCCAGAGTTACAGGCCTTCAGCCGACCTGAGAGAGAGAAGAGATCCAGGGCGCGCAGGCCTCTGTGGATACTTGTCCCTTTGAACAGGGACATCTCACCACGCCATGTGCAATCCCCTCCTGTTAATCCGGAACTAAATTCCCCATCACCGTCCCCCCCCCCCCCCCCGGAGCACCTAATGCTAAAAATATGACTGACAGTCACACCTCAGAGAAAAACACTGAGCACGCAGAGACGGGCCTGTCCCTCCCCGTGTCCTTGTGCCCTCCCAGGCGACGACTCACCGTCAGGCAGCACAGTCTCTCCGTTACGTGATATTTGTTTCCAGAACCTTTGTTTTCCCTCAGTAGTAAATCCTGCTTTACTTCTCAACCATTCCGTTAGCTACTTTCCTTTTCAATTACCAGTGTCGCCCCTAATGCATTTATCGGCCTTTTCTCCTCTCCTTCAGCCTCTTCCCCCCTTCTCCATGCAACACACTTTTATTTTCTTGAAAGTCAGAGAAGCTGGGAGAAGTGGAGCGAGCGGTGAAGTAGCCACGTGGGTGCCCTCATTCCACTCAGAAGTGGCCCCCGGAAGGCCATCTTCGGGGTCCCAGCACCCCAACGCCTCTTGCTTTCTGACCACGCCAAGCCAGCTAAGCCCGTGCTCCAGCCCCACCTTGCTGCATCCCACTGGCTTCCTGGGTGTCACCCTGGTTGAGCTCTGCAGAAACTTCTCTGGCTCTTCTAAGACCCAGTCCAAGACCCCAGGGGGTCTTCATCTCTGAGCTCGAAGGGGTCTGCGTTTGTTCTGACCCCTCTTCAAGCTACTGAACAGTCCTCTTCATTTTCACCATTGTAAGGAGGGGAGGAATAAAAGCAAGCATTAAAATACAAACGAGCAAACTCGCTAGAAACAACTTTCTTTTTAAAGGAAAAGTCAAATACAAGATTCCTTTTGCCTAGCTATCACTGCCATCCTGTAAATGAAGCAAATTAATTTTAATAATCCCAGGTGTGGCTTCTGTGTCACCCTGGTTGACAGGAAGCAAGCAGACTCTACGAGACAGCGTCTGACCTTATGGAAGTGAACACCGCGCACACATTTACAGCTTTACAGGGACTTTCAGCTGTCATGCTGAAAAATGTTTATAAAACATTAATCAAAAAAAAATGCCTCTTTAATACAATGCATCGTCTGAACGACGTTCGAAGGTGCAGATTGTAAATGGATTCTTTTTCTGACGAAAGTAATTTCCAGCAAAAGCGTTTCCCTACTGCTTGACAAGTGCACTGTGTGGCTAGATGAAGGCCCTTCCTCAGCACATTACTACCTGACCCAAACACCTGGGAAATCACCACTGCACAGAACGCCCTATTTCCATGACACCCATGACACATCGTCGAAAATTATCCAACAGGGTTTGACACTCGGCAGATTCCATAAGCACCACTTTCAACTGACATATGCCAAGTAGAAACATCAAGTAAGAGCTTTCTTCTTCTAACTGCAAGAAAGGAGTTTCTTTTATCTTTTGCCCAGAATGGAGAAGATAAAACGATACATACAAGAACATGTTTTTTAGGGTTCTGTTTTCAATATGTTTATTTTATGTTCACGCGATTAGAAAATTCCCTTTGTATCCGTGTTCAAGTTTCAACAGTCACTACTTTCTACTGGATGAACAGTTTTTCCCCTTATCTTGAGAAACAGGCATTTTTCTTCTGTGATTAAATATGGATTTTTATTTAATCCTCACTGCAGTCTGATTTGTTATACAAAATCTAAACACAACTTTACATACTGTTCAGAGCTGATTACTTTTCAGGGCACAATGCTGTCACCATTATATATTTTTCTTAAATCTCTACCTGTCCGTCTGTCTATTTTTCTGTTTGTCTATCCACCTATCCATCCTCCACCCATCTAAAAAATACTTTTTGGAACTTTGCCACATGTGAGCTAACTACTTGTGTACTGGGGAATATAAGAGAATAATGGAGAACATCCCGGCCTCGGGGGATCCACTGCCGAACGCTTGCCCTGACCACGTCATCTTGTCTTCTCTCTGGAGGTGAGTGCATAATCCCTCTGTTCCTGGCTACCCAGTTTCTACAACTCAAAGTTGGGGGAATCATCAATGACTAAGCCCATTTCTACCTCTGCATCAAGTTACCAACTCCTGTGGATTCGGCCACTCTCCATCTCCTCCGCTTTCATGGCCACCTTGTTACGTTGGTAACTGCATACCTCAGAACCCTGAGCCGCAATTTCTTGCAGCTTCCTGCTGTAATCCCATCTTCAGACTCTGCCCTTCATCAATCC